GCTTGAGATAAAAAGCTAAATTTGTCACTTAGAGCTTTGCATATTCAGATGAGCTATTCTCACTGCCACCTTGTATGCTGATCTAAGCTATAAGACATGCACAGTTAGATAAACAAATAACCTCCACTTAATTATCTCTGAAATCCTGAAAATTCATTGCTGTATTTTATTGGGCATGGTGTTGTTGGGTTGATGGTTGGACTCGATGATCTTGGAGGTCTCTTCCAACCTTAATGATTCTATGATTCTATGATTCTATTATACATTGTCTTTTGAAATCTACAGTTGCAGCCTAGATTCCTATAAAAGCATCTGTACAGATTTCCAGTTCTCTGTTTGCGTAAATCTAACAGTCTTGTGATATGGGTAAGGCAGGATGTTTGTTTAACCCATTTGCAATTTACATTTTCTGTGTGTGCAAATTTTTAATTCATCTAATGGAAGAAGTCTTGCTCCTACAGCTTTTATGTAGAAAACTAGTCATGTGTATAATTGGAGGATTGAATGTTCTCTTCAAAATATTTGTGCTTCATATGAAGTTTTAGCTTGAAAGATCCTGCCTCATTTGTATCTTTGATACCTTATTTCTATTTTGCTCGTCTGCCATTCATTTCTTATGTAAAAGATAAAGGAATTTAATTTGTACATGTTGTGGTTTAACCCAGTGGGCAGCTGAGCCCCACACAGCCGCTCACTCACGCCTCCCCGGTGGCACGGGGGGAGAGAATCAGAAGGGTAAAAGTGAGAAAGCTTGTGGGTTGAGATAAAGACAGTTTAATAGGTAAAGCAAAAGCCACGCACACAAGCAAAGCAAAACAAGGAATTCATTCACTGTGTCCCATCAGCAGGCAGGTGTTCAGCCATCTCCAGGAAAGCAGGGCTCCATCATTTGTAATGGTTACTTGGGAAGACAAATGCTGTAACTCTGAATGTCCTCCCTTCTTTCCCCAGCTTTATATGCTGAGCATGACATCATATGGTATGGAATATCCCTTTGGTCAGCTGGGATCAACTGTCCCGGCTGTGTCCCCTCCCAGCCTCTCGTGCACCCCCAGCCAATTTGCTAGCAGAGCAGCATGAGAAACAGAGAAGGCCTTGACGCTGTGTGAATACTGCTCAGCAATAGCTAAAACATCCCTGTGTTATCAGCACTGTTTCGGTCACAAAGCCAAAACATAGCCCCGTGCAAGCTACTATGAATGAACTTAACTCTGTCCCAGCCAAAACCAGTACACAACAAAAGCTGGAAAACTGCCCAACTTATCTTCAATCCAAAGGTCTGAAAGAAAGGGGAGGGAGGGTGCTAGCTAAGAAGATGCTTTCAGTTTAGAATAAACAGGTGGGAAAGCAAGGCACTGTTAAACTTGTATTGAAAGTACTCCTGGGTGTGAAAGTCTGCTCAAATGAATACTACCTTAAACTCAGCCAATTGTATTGATTTTGTTTTGAAAGATTTACAGTAAAGCCAGTCCTCTGTCTAGGCAGCTGATGGGGTGATGACTACCTCTACAGATGGTAGACAACAACTTTGGGAAATAGAGAGAGGGAGGGACACTTGTCAATTAGTCAAAAATGTGGGGAAATTTTTGTTTATAAAGGGATTTATTCTATTTCAGAATGTCAAGTACTATTTGGAAAACCAGAAAAAATAATGTACTATAGTTAATTCCTTAGGCATTAAATATAGATTCCAGAACAAAGTTTTAAGTTTGTGGAAGCACGAATTTGGATTGCTCAACTGTAAGATAATGATGTCTTGTAGAACAAACAGTATTTTTTTTTTTTTGGTCTGTGATTTGGAAACAGTAATTACAGAGGGAAGTATGCAATATCCAGAGCTGTTGGATTTTTATTCATTATTTTTGCTCTGTAGTTTCTGTGGACTGAGACAGACCTTTGTGCAGTGAAAAATTTTATCATCCAAAGACATCTGCTCATGCAAAAATGCGTATTGAGAGAATGTTGTAGCAGAATTTCCCATTTACAGTTTTTGGAACCACTGTATGTATAAACCACCCATATATATATATATATATAAAGGGTCATCTTTGCCAGGATAAATTTTCAGAGGTGTAAGATTGCTGAATTATCAATTGGATTAAAGATTGGATCCAATCTTGTAAACACTGGATTTGGGAGTTGCTCAGTCTTTTTGCTCAGCCCAGTATGTTTCAGATTTAATACGCATTTGTTCTCCTGCTTTAAGCCTCAAATCATGGACTTACTGAATGAATTTTCTAAAGTTACAGTAATTTGAGGTTGAAGAGGAAAAAAACTCTTCCAAGGGTGACTCACTCCAGAGGTAAACGCTAAAAGTAAAATGGAGAACTCTATACCCTGTTTGCCATGTAAGGAAAATAATTTTCGGAAAGCCAGAAGACTCAAATAATTGTGTCCATCTACTACTGCTAAATACCAAACTTCCTAATTAGCTTTTCTGGTCTTGGGAGTGACATTATCTTTTAACACAAGTTTTGTCTATGGAAGACTAACCCATGTGGCTAAGTGAAAATCATTACTACTGTATAAAGGTAGAATGTAAATGAGTGCTGTGTAATTAAGTATCCATAAAATCAAATGGGGGGAAAAAAAGCAAGGCCATCATGAGTAGACTTAATTTTACAACATAGTGATATAAATGTGCACAAGAAAAAACTGAAGGACATGCAGGTATGAAAATACTGAAAATCTGATCTAAATAAGAGGGGAATGGAGGTAAGTAAGTCTCCTTTCTTTCGTTGTCACTTCAGGGGCAGCTCTTTGGAAGTTTTGTACCATATAATAAAGAATGCAGTAAATTATTGTGATATATGGCGGGTTTGTGGGATGTGATAGTAGCATCATCAGAATTCCTCTGTAATGACAGAGCTGAATTGGAATAGTTTCTTCAATGTTTTGGTATGTATTTTAATGTACTTTTTTCAATTACATGTTCCTTTCAGTGTGCCTGTAATGGAATTTCAAGTAAAAATGAATTTATTGTGGAAATTAGATTATTGCAGTGGTTACAGCTGAACATGCACAACAAGGTGCTTTTAAGATGATAATTTAAAAAGAAATAAATTACAGGTCCTATGAAATTACAGACTTCAGAATTTTCCTTTGTCTTTCCTATTAGCAAAAAAAAAAATGCAAAAAGGTAGGAGTTTCTAATATGTTCTGACAAGTTCACTGTCTTATGTAAGATAACGTGTTGGCAAGAAGGTTCCAAGTTTATTTCCTGCTTTTGTTTTATTTTAGGTCCCAAATCTGATCCCAGTTCTGATTTTTAAATTGGGAAGACCTTTGGAGCCTGCACTTTACAGGGATATATTGTATACATTGCCTACACTGGGTGTACACAAGGTCAGAATGAAAAATTTTTAGTAAAACAAAAACTGTATCAGTAAGAGGTCATTTATTTATAAAAAAATATTTAGACTGAGCAATGCATAGCTTGTTTAAAATAACTGATTTGTAAGCTTCAGCATAACTGTTTAATATTTTGGATGGGATATGACACTTGGTTTAAAGAGTGAAATGTACATTATGCTTTAGTGTCTGCACTGTATCATCATTTTTTTATATATATATCATAAGAAGATGCTCTTGGACTCGTTATGCATTAAAGTTTTTCAGAAAATGACTTCCAGTTTCTTTCTGACATTGCAGTTGAACAGTTACCTCCTTGTACTTGGTTGTAAAATAATGATTTGTAGATTAGTCTTTGTTCTTGGACATAAAAAATAACAGTGACGTTTGGTTAAAAAATTTCTTCCAGGTTTGTGTAGCTCAGATTCTACGTGCCATACACATGCTGGGGAGCACACCAAAGCTTAGAGCAATTGCTTTGCGGCTGATGACATCCTTATGGGAAAGACAGGTTAGAAAATTCTTGTAGTGTCACTAAGATAAGTGCAGTTGAAGAACTCCATTACCTCTAACCAAGGAAGGAAATTAATTTTGGAACATTGCTTATACTAGTATCTCATTATCAGCAGTATAAAGTAAATTGTGGAAGTTGTGCCTATATTGATTCTGTTTTAGTGAAAATTCAATAGTATGTCTTTCATGAAACCTGCTTTTCATGTCATCTGGCCTCAGACTGGAATTAGGAAAAAAAATTGAAGGACTGCTTTCTGCTTTTCATAATGTGCAGTAAGAACAAGACCTTAGTTACATGGCAATAATTTGCTTCTGTGTTTATAATGTAGCAATACAGATTTGGTCTGCAAAAGCCAGTTGGATCTCAATGCAGCATTAGATTCCAGTAATGAAGAAAAGCTAAGTATTGTATGCAATAGAAGTGGTATTCAGAAGTCATGTAAAAGTGCTAGCAATTGAAAATCCTGTCACCAACTTTTGAAGGTGTGATGATAATTTTTAAATTAAATCTTCTCTAGGACCGAATATACCCAGAATTACAGAAGTTCTTGGCGATGTCTGATATGCCCTCTTTGTCTGTTGATAAAGATTCTCAATGGGAAAAGCTGATTGCTAAAGCTGCTTGCATAAGAGATATATGTAGGCAGAGGTAAGCGCAAGTGTTATCTGTCTTTATGTCTTTGTAATGGAAAACAATTTTTTTCCAGAAAAACTGCATAATTATTTTTACCTACTCTGTTATATTAATTGTGGGTAATATTTTTCTAGTTGTATGAGATACTGACTCAAGCATTGCTAATCTCACCAGCTAGTAAGTTTTGGGTTTTATATTATAACTAATAGAAAGCACATATAAATAATGTTAAAATTAAAATGTCTTCATCCTGAAACAAAACGCGCATCCTGATCCACAGTAGAAACTTAAAGCATACCACTTCCATATTATAAAAAGAGAGTGATGAAACATTAGAAGAAACAACTAATGATCTGTCTGTCTTTTGATCTATTCAAAGAAAGATTGGGTGCTTTTCTGGAAAGTATATTTTGTCACATGGAAATTACTGGTCTTTATTCAGATATAATATTGACCACAGAACACAGTTGTACGAGTCTAACTGGATGATACATTGATCCTTTCCAGTTCTAACAATCCATGAATATTAGTACTTGATAATAATTTACAGTTCCTGGAAAGCTTATTTTTAAACACATTATCAGTTACTTCCTGGTTTTATGTGCACAATACCATCTTTTCTTTGTCACCTATCTTTTGGGTTCCACTTTTCACTTTCTTCCTTGAAGGTCAGTTACTAACAGCTGGGAAGATTCATGTATCTTTCAATCATCAACAACAACAAAAAAAATCTTAAAGAAAATATCCTTTCCTTTACATCTTCAACCTTCTTTAATTTTGAAAAACATCATTTTCCAAGAAATTAAAAAAATTGAAAAGCAAGAGATAAATCTCAATGCAGCTGTAGTATTCTTTTTGCCAGGTAAGTGGTGTAGTTAGAGTTCAGGTGTATGCACGTTATTTGTGCTTTTAGAAATTATTTGGAAGAAAGTGAGAGCAAATAGAGGAAGCCTGAATGTTCCATGCAAATAAATCACCTAGCCAGGTGCTATTTACACAGAGTTCTTACAGAAATAGTATGAGGAACTGCTGAATCAGCAGTTGACACCTCCCCCCGCCACTGCCCAATAAAACTGAATGGATACTAAAAGACTGGAAAGCAAACAAGCAGCCCATGCAGTCATTGAAGGAGAGACAAATCACACTGCAGCAGCAAAAAATTTGGAAAAACGTTCCTATCTGATGTAAGAGGGCCAAAAGTCTTTTGCTGCCAGATTCTCCACCAATACACAGTAGTGAGTATTTACAGACGACTGCCACAAAGAAGCAAAGAATAGTGCCTTTAATAGCACACATGGATTTTCCTTCTCAGTCACTTCTTGAATGATGTAATCTTTTAGCACACACACCATCCTTGGACAAAAACTTCCACCACCACTTGGTGACCTTTTATTTGGAAATTGATGCCTGCTAATTTAACTCTCCATGTCAGTCAGCCTTTAGAGCTCTCTATCATATCCTCCCTTGTATCTTTTTTTTCCTTCCAGTTTTAGTCTGTTTTAGTTGTCACTTAAACAAAACCAATACTTAATGAATTTTTGTGTATAGAATAGAACTTGTGTGTATGTGTGAATATTGCCTTGTATCTTCATGTTTTTTCCTTTAGGCCATACCAGCACGGAGCAGACATGTTGGCTGCAATTTCCCACGTATTAAATGAATGCACAAAACCTGATCAAGCTTCACCCGCTGCCATAGTGTTACAGGGTCTTCAGGCACTTTGTGAGGCTGAGGTAAGATTAAATTGGCTTGTCGCTGTGTTTTGTGTTTTGCTTGTGGATCATGGACTTTTTTCCTAGTTGGCTTTTTTTTTAAGAGTACATTGGATTGTTGCAGAATTTTTTTTTTTCTTCTGACATTTAATTCCTCTCTTCCAACATCAGTTTATTGTTCCTGGGAAGTTATACTGTGAACTTCTACTACAGCAGGTCAGCCCTTCAGTGCATGGGTTGGAATTTTAGGTCAGCTTCACAGTTTATTCAAAGACATCCTTTCATATATTTTTTCCTTGAGATTTGAAAAGAACAGCTGTTCGGCACATAATTCTGATTGGCTGAAAAGTATGTAAATAATCTCAATTTTGATACCTTCTTACTTGCCCGCCCTGCTGTGTCTCATTCACATAGTGAACCTGATAGGGAGAGAAATCGTTCCCAAATCACTCGGGAGGCTTCTGTTTTACTCTAATGCATTCATTACTTACTGATGAAGAAGACAAGCATTGGAACATGCTGCCCAGAGAGGAGATGCTGTCTCCATCCTTGGAGGTTTTCACATTCTTTTTGGATATGATCCTGAGCAACTGGGTCTGATCTCATAGTGACCCTGCTTTGAGCAGGAGGTTGGACTAAAAATGTCCTGAGGTCCCTTCCAGACCAAATTGTCCTGTGATCCTACAGTATCCCTGAGTTAGGAGCCAAGGCTCTTTTTTTTTTTTTTTCAACAGTGACATCCCAGACACAGTGATGCAGGCACAGACATGCTGTTAATCACACTATAGGCAAACTGTGGACTATGCAGGCTGTCTGAGTTAGTGGACTAATGATAGCCTGCAGGAATATCTAATCATCCGTTCTCTGCCAAACAGCAATTTTAAGTTTATCCACTTCTTCACTTTCAGTGCAGTGTTTACTGCAGTGAGGCCTATCCAACAAAATCCAGCCATTGCCACATTATGCATTTGGAATCACATCAGCAGTTCAAGAACAACATAGTAAATGGTTAGCAGTCCATAGACATTAGTATTCAATATAGTTAAAAAGCTTCAGATAATGGCTGCTAAGAAGCAACTTATTCAGGATAATTACTGTCTTTACTTTTGGTATGGAGTTTGGCTCTTCTTAAGGTCACGTAAATTCTTTGAATGCTGGTCTCAGTATTTAAGCAGCGTCTTCCCAGGCTGGATTATATTTAGACTTTGTTTCCTGCAAAGAAGCAGGAGCTAGGCCTATAACAAATGTCACATTTTACTATAAAAACCTCCTTTGAGAACAGACATACTGTACCACTGTTGAGAAGTGGAAGGCTGAGACAACTCCAGGTACTCGGGATAGAAGGAAGGAAGGAAAGAACCACTTCGTGGACAGGTACCAATTTTTCCTGTCCTAATTCTTACAGGTCCTCCTCAGCTTGCTCTGTTTCCCCAGTTTTATGCCAGTGTAATGTTCTGGGAGACAGCATCTGCCACCCAGGTATACTGAAACTTTGTAATAGAGAATTCTCTTGTGGTTTGGTAAACTGATTAACCATTTGGGTTAAGTAATGCAGTCTTTCCTTTATTTAGTATTTAGACTCCAGTTTGCAGTGCAGAAACTTTATAGGGCATAATCATAGAGGTTGGTCAGAGGGTTTTGTTTTGGTGCTTTCTCTCTCTGCCACTGTCTCAATAGATAACCATGGGAAAGGGATTTAATCTCTTTGAACTTTTCCATGTGCAGCTGCTTAGGTGCAGGATTTTAGTGAGCACGTAATTTTCAGTCAACTTCTGCACCAGTATAACAAATTATGTTTTCATATGTATAGTGTTTATACAGTTGATGATGGAACCCTATAGACCATGTGGTTTTGTCAAAGCTGGGTTCTGAGAGTCTCAGAAAGACTCCTTTGTAAAAGTAATGCTATAATAAAACGTGCTGTAACATTGATTTTTTTGGTCGAATGTTGTGGAAGAATAGTTTTCCATTTTGTTGACTGCAGTAATTGTTTTGTGTAAATGTAATGGTTTTACCCAAAGTACATAGTACATGACTAGCATTAAGAGTATTAGCTTAACTTTTGTGGGACTTAGAAGAACGGCTATAAAATACACACAGTTCTTGCCAGGTCACATTTCCTATTTCTGGGCAAATATTTTGGGTTTTTTCCAGTGATTTCAACAGAAGCCAGTATACTTCCTATGAGGCCATCTATCCTGGCATGTAATTGATTTCACGTATCAAGTACTGTACGCAAGCCAAGAAACATTCAAGAATGAAAATGCTAAGCACAGTATTTAAAACCCCTTTCCAAGCTTTTTGTGGAAGTGGTTTCTTGCTCTTTATTCCTTCAGTTCTATTTTATTAATCAGAAAGAAACTGGCATAGCACAGTAATATAATGAACTGAAATGTTGTGTGAGAACAAATTATGTTGACTGAGTTTAACATTTAGTAGGAATTACAAAGCTGGATGTTGTTTAAACAGCGTACACTTAACACAAACCCACCATTTTAAGAGTACAGTTTTTGAGATGTTGTCAGAGGATCATTACCTTCTTCTTGGACTCAAGTTTCTGCCAGTTTCAATTTCCCAGGTCTGATTTACTCCTCATTCTTTTTGCCTTACTTTATATCCTTGACCTTGTATGTAGTTAACATCATAATTTCTATTTGAACTCTTTAGCCAGTACTGTAGGTACAATTCCTTAGCTGTGCAGATCTGCTGTTGAAGGGAGCTGCCAGGCTCCCAGGTTGAACTCTATATAGGTAAGGGTTTTTCCACATCCTGAATGAGTGAGTAAAGTAAGTTGACTAGGAACGTTATTGGCCTTCATTCAGTCTGACTGGTCTGGTGAACACGCAGGTAGAATATTTGCTGTTTTACTTGATTTCCCTATTACCTGCTATTGTTCCTAAAAGTGCTGCTGCTGCTTTTTTTTTTTTCCATCTGAACTTTGTGGTTTATAACCTCACTGAATGAAAACCGTGTTACCTTCTCCACTTGCAAGTCAGCTTTCCATTTCAGAATATCAGAAAATCCATTTCAGTGCATCTTCATCACTGGTGCGATTTCTGGTTTTTGAAAGCTGGAAATGTCAAAGATATTGTGGGAATGTAAATTTAATTTTTCCTCTTATGAATGTATTATGTTATATCATAGAATCATAGAATAGTTTGGGTTGGAAGGGACCTTTAAAGTACATCTAGTCACAAACAGTTCCTCCTTTTGCACCTGCCTCTGCATCCAACCTCTTTTCATCTTGGAAACATTCACTACAGTGGCAATTTCATTTTCTGTCACTTGATTAGGATGTGTGGCATACTAGTGTAGTCTAGCTGGTGTTACCATGTTGTTTTCTTCTCTTTCTCTCCCTATTTTTTGCTTTCCCATTTTATGTATTTTGACACTTCATTTGCTTTTTTTTCTCAAGGCTGGAACAGAGTTCTAACCTTGTCTTCTGGTCTTGCTAATAAGATAGCTAGTACTCTTGCACTTTTTGTAAGAAATGGTATATAGCAATAGCTTGAGGGACACGGAGTATCTTCAGGAAGACTAAATTCATCAGTGTATCTTAGGTGGAGAAGTTACTTTTTCTAAGCTTAGGAAAATTTTATTTTCTTCAGAGCACACAATATGACTTATTTTAATAAGTGTCTTAAACTTTGTAATTTAAAACACTAACAGTGGCTTTTAGCTTGCATGTTACTTCTCCCATTTGGTCTTCAACTTCGTGTTGTATTCATTGCAGACACAAAATAAATTAAGGAAACCTGTGCTTCAAGTACTTATAATCTGTTAGCAGAAACTGGAAAACTGCTTGTGTAGTCCACAAAAAGAATTCCCCTTTGGTAGCTGAAATTTCAGTGTAAGCATTTTGTGTTTCAATGTGGACATACTCTGTAGACAGAACGATCTTGGCCAAACTTTTTACTGTGGAAATGGCATTGAGATTGATTTGGCTGTTAATCCTCAGGATTAATAGTAGCGCTTCTGCCTCTGCAGCACCATCATGTTGTCAAGTCAGCTGGTTTTGGAGTATTGGGCAAAATGTATTTTGAAAAGATGATGATTTTATTTACTCTAATTTATTCCTAGATCGTATTTGTCCACAAATGTCACAGGGCAGCCAGGGTCATTTTTTGTTATCACAGCGTGTGTCAGAGTCCAATACTCTCTGACCAGGTTATTTTAGATATTCCATGCGTGGAGGATGTAATGTGTAATATCAAATTTAGTTATTTGAAGACAGTTGTTACACAGGATTTCTGATTCAGCAGAGTGATCAAAAATATACCGAAATCACAATACAAATGTAAGTTACACTTAGCAAAATATAGCAATTGCAATATACACTGCAATCACAATACCAATGTCATTCCTATTACCAGTCCCTATAATATGCTCACCGTCACGATGCTGAGCATCCCCAGTCGCCAGGAAGGAATATGTGGGTTGAAGCCAGCTCAAGCCCATTGCTTTCTTCGAAATTCTTTTGTTGGCTGTCTTGTTTTTATATTGTATGTTGGGCTGACTCATGTATTCACTCCCCGTATGCTGATCTGACTGACTCAGGGACATGTTCACACTCTTTTAGAGAACTGGGGAGAAACATTTACACCAGCAGTTGATCCACTGAACTGTTTGTAGCTGTATATCTAAAAAAAGGTCCTCTTTGTGTTCAATCAGTTTCTTTGCAACAGCTGTGGTCAGTCCAGCCCTGCATTATTCTCTCAGCGTCATGGGCACATCACCTTTGCCCATCTGAGCCTTCTTCCGTTGTAGGGCTTTATTGGTCAGTCACAGTGTGTAGCACTAATGCAAAGCAATGGTATGCCCTTTACTTTTGGCAAGTTGCAGTTATTTCTGTAGCTGGCTGTTAAGTGTAACACTTTGCAGTAGAGGATGTGTCTGGTCGGCTTTGCTGCAATTACATGTTCTGGAAAGATTCTGATAGGTTTTATCCTAATTGTAGCTTAGAGGAGATTCTGAATCTCAGGCAATTGTCATGAAAGATGTGGAGCTGCTCTGCAATAAAT